CAGCAAGTGGGTGGTTTTACTAAGGGAATTCACTAATAAAGATGGCTAAACATTTAAGGTTCCTAAAATATCACTTGTGGAATGAGATACACTTAAAGGCGCTAGACCATTCAATGCATTTTCAGAAGAACAGTATGCATCGATGCAGCGAACAAATAATGGGAGTGATTTTATCGTGCGGATAGGTTGTGGTAGGTTATTCCAGAGTCTAGAAAATTTACAGGTGAAGCAATTCATATAAAGAGATGATTTAGAATGAGTTTGTTTCACTAGTGCCAAGGAATTACGGATGTCATAATGAGAGGTTTCTGCATATTGAATCGCGTGATCGGATGTAAACGATAGTTTATGAAGTAGTTTGAAGAAAAAGATAAGATTTAGTTTGAGTCTCCTCCTCCATAAAGGGTCTACCTCAAGTTTATTACATCTGGAATTATAAGTTAAGGTACAATCAGCTCCAAGAATACGAAGTGTAAATCGTCTCTGTACTGATCCCAGCCTTAATTTATCCTTTGTGAGCGCACTGCTAAGAATAAACGTGCAATATTCTAGAAGAGGTCGAGCACAAACTTTGTACATTAGAATACGTGACTCAGTGTTGTAAAGATTTCGAGTTATGTAACCTATTAGACGTTGAGACTTAGAGGTCTGTTTTAATATATGTTCTGTAGACGACAAGTCTTGGGAATATCTAAGTCCTAAGTCTACTACTGTATGTAACCTAGATAACACTTCACCATTTATGGTAATGTCTAGGTTGAGTGATGTATCGCCGAAGCATATCCATCCACATTTAGCCATATTAAGCTCCAGTTGCCATTTTAAGCACCACTGTGTTACCTTGTTAAGCTCCATGCTGATGCAATTTTGCATATTTTTCAGCTCATGTGGAGAAAATGAATATACTACTTTAAGATCATTTGGATATAGAAGGGGCTTACCGACACAAAAACTTTCACAAATATCATTGATAAACACTAAAAAGAGCAAAGGACCTAAGACACTACCTTGTATTACTCCACTTCTAACAGGGACAGCGTTAAACAATGAAGAGTTAATTTTAACTATTTGTTATCGATTGCAGAGAAAGGAATCAAGCCAAGCAAGCAAAGTATTTTGAACCGCATAAGATGCGAGCTTACCTATAAGAAGTTCGTGGCTAGCCATGTCAAAGGCTTTAGAAATGTCCAGATATAGCACTAAGACTAGATACCCTTGGCTACGTAGTAGAGGTTGCGAATTCCAAAATAACTATCTGAAGGAAGAGAAACATCCCACGTAAGTTCACGCACTGAGCTGATGAGTATGCTTGGCCGAGCGCCTTTACATATTAGTATCCTTTAAAGCTAGCAGAAACTTGTGTTTGTGAAAAATTATTTTGTTTCTCAAAGTTATTGAGAGATCAGGATTGGAATCAGTACCTCAACATACTCAAGTAAAAACGGAAACCCTCCTCTTGTTAAACTCATTTTGAAGTCTCCTATCTTTTTGAAGATGAAAAGGCAACTCCAGAGTAGTTTGTATTGTCTAAAACCTCCATCATACATTCTTATTATCAGAAAACGTATCTGAGGATAAATCTTTGGAAGAAAACTTAAAGGAGCATAGACAAAATTACTTGAGAATTTCCTCAACTTGATCGGTTGTCTAGATTTGACATCGGAGTAAATCCGTAGACATGACAAGAATAGGAGTTTAGCTTGACACACGTTTGACCAGCTACAGTTGCTGCACCACGAATATTGGTCGCGTTAATCCTGATGATGTCACAGGTATTCAGTGTTTGACAACGCTTCTACCAGTAACACCTAATATATTTCGTTCCCACCAAGAGAAATCAAAAGACAGAGTCGAGGAGATCGGAAGAGTATATTTGGCGATGACCAATATACCGGGATTCTCTGATCTAATCTGGCTAGCGATTGTGGTTGATGTTGAGCACGGCGTTACTACACGTGATCTGGTGCGGATGCCTGACCGAGCGCCTTCAGCTAGATGAGTCCACTAAAACATATGGTCAGCATCCAATGTCGAAAACTTACAGAGCTATTTATTTTAGGGATTTATTTACCGCTACAGATCACTCCCCCCCTAGTGGGGCAGTGACGACCCTAAGACGTGGCCAGCCAGAAGTTTAAACCCAACGAGTTTGTCGTTGGTAAACACTCTTCTGATAGCTTACTAAATTTAGCAGCGTCTGGTCGTCTTTCCTTACTATATGGGACGGAGGTACAACATAGTAAAAAAAGAAAATGTACAATGAAAATTTCGGATCCTCATAAACGTCATCGTTCTTTTCCAGCCGTCCTGGAAAAGAAAAAAGAAAATGTAAGTGCATGTCGAAAATACACTCGTATATGCGTAAAAACAAGGTCGGCGGAAAAAAATGGAAAATAAACTCATGAGCACGTAATAGCGTTAAAAAAATTGTTTTTTTGTTTTTTTTTTTAATAGAAATAAAAATATATAAGCATATTAAAATTTTTTTTCTAAAAAAATAATATAAAATGTCGAGAAGTGCCTTACGTGCAATAGTCGTTTAAATGTTCTGGAAATCTCACCCTTCTTCCAGAACGCGTCGTTTTAAGTTTATTTTCGGATACTGTCGAAGTATCTTCGTGTGTGTTGGTTGTCGGATGAGGTATTATTAGTGTCTGAGTCGTGTCGTTCGATTGTACCGAAGGAAAATCGACGTGGATAGGATTTCCTTCTAAATACGCTGCTTTTAAGCGATCGATGCTGATGCTATCGTTGGTTCCGTTCTTATCGACTATATAGTACTTAGATTCACGTTGAAGAACTTTGAAGGGTCCTTCGTATGCTGATTCGAATGGTCGTCGATGCGAGTCTCGACGAATGAAAACGTGTGTACTATATCGTAAGTCAGGTTGAACGAAAACATCAGTTGATTGAGGTCGAGTGGAAGCAGGTTTAACTGAACGCATTGCGTTTGTAAGCCTGTTCGTGTAGGAGGTTAGATCCATGTTCATCGAAGAGCACGAAGGATCCACGAATTCTCCTGGAAGTCGAAGTGTCGTTCCATAAACGAGTTGAGCCGCAGTGTATCCAATGTCAGCTTTCACTGCATTGCGGATACCTAGTAAGACGAGTGGAAGAGCGTCGGTCCATTGTGAAACGTTTGCAGCTGATAGCGAAGCTTTCAGTTGTCGGTGAAAACGTTCTACCAACCCGTTTGCTTGTGGATGGTAGGCGGTCGTTCGGAAGCGAGTGATTCCTAAAAGTGTGGTCAGACGACGGAAAAGATCAGATTCAAACTGACGTCCGCGGTCTGTAGTGATGGTTGAAGGGCAACCGAAGTTTGCTACCCATCGTTCGACGAATGTGCGGGCCACTGTTTCAGCAGTGCTGTCCTTGATAGGTACTGCTTCTGGCCATCGAGTGAAACGGTCTACGCAGGTTAAGAGATAAGAGTATCCATTTGAATCTGGTAAAGGTCCTACCAAATCCAGATGAACATGGTCGAAACGAGCATCGGGAGTTTTAAACGAGCCTAAGGGACATTTATTGTGTCTGATAACCTTAGATTTTTGGCAGCTTACACAGGAGCGTGCCCACTCCCTCACGTCTTTATTCATGCCAGGCCAGCAAAATCGTTCTGCTATAAGCTTGATGGTTGCACGAACACCTGGATGAGAAAGTTTGTGCAATGTGTTGAAGACATTGCGTCGATAATGTTTCGGCACGATTGGGCGATCCCTACCTGTAGATGTGTCACAAAGTAAGGTTTCCTTACCTGTTCCCATCTGTTTGATGCGTAGTTTAAGTGTTGTGGACGATAACTCGTGCTGAAGATCACTGTCTTCTTTTTGAAGCTCGGCGAGTTTAAGAAGGTCGATTCCTTGGAAACTGTTCAAGGAAGTTATACGAGATAAAGCGTCTGCAACTACATTGTTTGCTCCAGAGATGTGTTGAATATCTGAAGTAAACTGCGAAATGTAGTCCAGTTGTCGAGACTCACGGGGAGAGTACTTGTCAGAAGGAGAGCTTAACGAGAAAGTGAGCGGTTTATGGTCCGTGAAAAGAGTGAATTCACGGCCTTCGATATAGTGTTGGAAATGCCGTACAGCACAATACATAGCTAGGAGTTCCCTACCGAATGTGCTGTACCTCGATTCGGTGTCTAGCAACCTTCTAGAGAAAAATGCCAAGGGTTGCCAGGAGTTGTTAACCCATTGTTGTAAGACTCCTCCGATTGCTGAGTCGGATGCGTCTACTGCGATGCTAATGGGTGCTCGGGTGTCCTGATGTGCGAGCATTGTTGCTTTAGCAATCAGTTCCTTAACTGTGGAGAATGCTTTTCGTGCGGTGTCGTCCAAATTAATGGATTTCGCATTTCCACGAAGTTGGTCGGTCAGAGGTTTCATAAGTGATGCGCATTTGGGTATGAAACGTCTATAGAAACTTACCAGGCCGTTGAACGTGCGTAATTGCTTGACGGTGGTCGGTTCTGGGTAATCCAGAATGGCCGCCACTTTGGTTCTAAGGGGTCGGATACCTTGAGCATCGATAGTGTGTCCCAGAAAGTCTAACGAGTCGGTTCCAAATTGGCATTTCTGAACGTTTACAGTTATGCCATGTTTTTGTAATCGTTCGAAAACAAGGTCCAGATGCTTGAGATGTGTTTCTCTGTCCGGACTTGCGATTAGACAGTCGTCAACATACGCGTGTACGAAGTTGAGACCTCGAAAAACGTCGTCTATGAATCTTTGGAATGTTTGAGCAGCATTCCTTAGACCGAAAGGCATTCGCAAAAATTCATAGAGTCCAATTTCACATAAAAATTATTTACTTCAGATTTCCAGAAAATGAAACGAAGGCTGAACATTTTCATGCAAAAGGAACATCTCCTGTAATCCAGACACATTCCATAGAGCTCACAGGCCAGTAATTTTGCTCAACAGAGTTACAAACCTTAATTGGATATTGAGCGACAAGTATTTTTAATTTGCCAATGATGTTGTTTAACGTGGTGCGGCTTCAGGGTTATTTAATCAAGTATGTTAGTCAGTTAGTAGTTGCAAAGAAGTATTCAAGTGGCTTGTATTTTTTGAGTACCTGACAATAAAACCCAATAATTTATAGTTATAAGTATCAAACAGACTTCACAACATGAGTAATCCTGAAATGCCGTATTTCCCACAAGCAAACTACTCTAGAAATTCAATACCAAATGCCAACTGGAATGATTTCTCGCAAAAAAGCCCACTCAAGCAACAGCATTTGTTAAACAACAATGAGGGCACCCCAGAAGTAAGTACTAACTTCTTAATTGATGGTGTTTCGGTAAAAAGATAAACTTCCACGATCCAAGTATTCCAAGGAATACTTGTTAATTAACGACTAAATAATCCCAAATCTTTAGATAATCTAGATCCTTATAGCCATCATGCCACTTATTGTCCGTACAATCCGGTTGACACGTCCCCCTTATCCTTTGTTTAAGCACAACCAAATTAAAGCAAGTTATAAACATCCGAACTACAGATTCAGATTTGTTTAGTGAGGACAGAAGGCCTATGGCCTATGTTATTCCTTTTCTCGTATACTTCTATAAGTGTCCAGTCTTTTCTTGAATGATTCAGCTGAAGATGCGGACACCACTGCTACGGTTAACAGGTTCCAAGTGTTGATGACTCGGTGTGAAAACCTGGATGCCACGGGTATTTTGTTAGTTCTTGGCCCTTCTACCCGCCTGCTATATCGTTTGAGATTTTCCGATATAGTGGAAAGAAAAGAATATATCAGGTCAAAAATCGTTTCTTAGTATCCTATACATCAAAATAAAATCCTTTTAGTTTGCTCTAGGCCAGAGAAAACAGGTCTAACTTCTCAAGCCGCTCTTTGTACTGTAAACCCCGGAGTCCTGGAATTGCATGGGTAGCTTCCCTCTGTACTGTTTTCAAGGATATCCGAGTCACCTTTTAAACGTGCTTGCGGCCTGAACGCAGTTCTCAAGCTTAGTTCTCACTGAGGTTGTATATGCTATGGTGTACATGGTAGTATCTAACTTAGTGAATGTCCGTTTTAAAGCACATAGGGTTCTAAACTCTTTAGTTACAACCTCCCGGCAATGGGCCGTTGTCATAAGACCATGACTTCCTGTCATCGCAAGGTCCTTGTGAAACCGGACCACGGGTACAGGCACTTCCCCTATGCTGCACCTGTTAACCTTTGTGTCCCCAAAATGCGTGTAAATATTTTGCCGCGTTGATGGATATCAGCCACTGCTTAGACCGGTCTGCCTGAAGTGCGCATGCATCTGCGTCCCGCGTTATTTCTCACCAGATTTTTACATCGTCAGTGTAAAATAACACTGGGGACTCTACTATACTTGGAAGATCATTTATATATAGTATAAAAAGTAAAAAAAACCTCGAGGTACTCCACTAAGTACTGGTTTCCAGGTGGAGCACTTGGAATTTGTTCTTACTTCCTGTCTACAACCTACTAGGAAATCTTTAAGCCATTTTAAGAGACGTTCGGCAATATCAGGATTTTCTAACGTCAATAGCAGTCTGTTTGTTGGCACATTGTCATATGCCTTACTGAAGTCTATGTAGACAATATCCAGTGAGTTACCGTTGTTTAGCGTCTTTATCAAATGCTCCCTTGCTATAAGGAGGTTTGTTGTGCAAGATAAACCCTTTCTGCAACCATGTTGTTCGCCATTTAGCAAGTCATTAGTTTCTACAAATGTCATTATTGTCTTTTTGACTATTCTTTCCAATATTTTAACTACGATACGGGCGAGGCTGACAGGTCTGTAGTTTGATGGAAGTTATCTTGATCCTGCGGCGAGACTCTAATTTAAGGACGACCTTTGAACGAATTTTAAGTGACCTTGACAATTATTAGCCAATCAGAAGACAGTTAGTATAAAGTGAGAATATATTGTAAGTAAGTAATGAATTACAGTGGATATTCTTCTTTTACATGATTTAAAAACTTGTTAAGGTTTGATAAAGGTCCAGAGGCTCTGAATTCATAATGCATATTGTATAGAAACTCGTCCATAGGGTTAGTGGTTAGGGTTGTAGCCTGTAAGTAGACACATCTCTAAAATCCGATGTAAACCGATCGCATGTTAGCACCCTAATCCTAACCTAACCCTAACCTTAACCTAACCCTAAACCCTAATCTAACCTTAACCTAACCCTAATCTAACCCTAACCTTAACCTAACCCTAAATCCTAATCTAACCCTAACCTTAACCTAACCCTAAGCCCTAATCTAACCTTAACCTAACCCTAAATCCTAATCTAACCCTAACCAACCCTAACCTTAACCTAACCCTTAACCCTAATTTTAACCCCAAACCCTAACCCTATGGACGAGTTTCTATACAATATGCATTATGAATTCAGAACTTCTGAGTCTTTATCAAACCTCAACAGGTTTTTAAATCATGTAAAAGAAGAATATCCACTGTAATTCATTACTTTCTTGTAATATATTTTTACTTTATACTGTCTTCTGATTGGCTAATAATTGAAATTGCTCAAACGCTTCTCATTGGCTCGTCCCTAAAATAGAGTTTCGCCGTCCCATCTGTTGTAACCTCTCATTAATCACCTACTCTCTAAAATCCGCTGTGAACCGATCGTATGTTAGCAGCGCGTGTTGAACTTGGCTCCGTGACCTTGAAATTGCTCAAACGCTTCTGATTGGCTCGTCCCTAAATTAGAGTCTCGCCGATCCTGCTTTATGTATAAGTGACGATTGCATCCTTCCAGCCCATAGGTTCAAAAGTACTTCTGTTATATAGTTTTTCTCTTTCTTCGTTAAACCGAAATCTTACACATGTACTGACGCTACTGCTATTCTCAGTGAAACATCTATATTTTCTCTTTGACGTTCGAAAGGTAATTTTACATATTTATGTTGACCGTAAGGACACAAACTACCACATCGTTTTAGGCGGTGGCACAGCGCCACCTTGCAATAGGATATACAGGGACTGGCGAGTGTTTAGTGTCATTTTAATTAGGTACCTACAACATTTCGCTTTTGTTTTGGGAACCTAACCTACTCCAACTACCTGAGTGTTGTGATCATATACCCTCCAATATTATCTGACAGTACAGTCTCCAATCGCAGCAGATGTGGGTTCGAGTACTTGTTTTATTTTATTTCACTCAAATTATTTCTTTGTGACTGATCCGAAAAGGCCAGGGGCTCGCTGTGTTGTAGCTGACTGACTGATTGGGGTTCACTGCCCTTTAATCGGGTGGTAATATTTCAAACAAGTGAGTTGATTTGTATCGTCGCATTCCTTTTTCACCCGGGTCATCTAACGTTCGCAACCACTAAACTAGGACTATCCGGACAGCTTATACTCCACGTGATTTAAAATAACAAGCAGTAAATTCATACCCCGGTGCCACTCAACCTAGTTTTCTTTAAATCAACTTCATATATAGGACTAGATTTTTGTTAGGGACATATAATGCTACCCAGTTATCCAAGTCAGTACGAACTAGCAACTTCCAATGACATTCCTCTCATAGCTCTCCGTTGTTTCTTATTCGGTAGGTCCGTTAAGGGCCAATATTAGGTAAAGTTGCTATCGGATATCTATGACCACGTATTTTCCACTCTTCATGACTATAGATGCATTTCACAGCAAACTGGTTTAGTTTGTCCGTCCAACTAATTAGATTGATGAATGCTGGATAAATCTATTTTGTTGACTAGCTATTCATCATCTTTGAAAGCTCTGAGGTAAGTATGGAGGTCTGCATGATAAAAACTGAGATCTAAGAGTAAAACTGGTCATACGTAAAGTGAAAGTTAGAAAAATCTGAAGTTCAAGATAGATTACCGTCAAAATAATTTTGATTAGAATGAATTTCATTTATCACCAAATCTTATAATTTGCTTCTCCGTAGAAATATGTCAGCTGACTTTTCAAGTATTTTATGGCGTTTGTTACCAAATAAACAAATTTTCATGCATTTTTTTCGTAACCCACGTTTCTCTCCGTTTGAACCTTTTGGTTTCAGTAATCTGTTCTATCAGTTTGTGTTCTTGAGTGAAAATATATGTCTACAAGCATGCTTTGAATATTTAGGTTGTTAGTACTACTTGGCTTCTAAAATCCTAATAGATGGAACATTATTTAAAATTGCAACCTAGTTGTTGGAAGACAAACGTTTCGAACATTAGACTGTCGCTTCACCATTCCCCGTCACTACTTATATACTCCTTGTAATAAATTGCTCAATTAGGAATTATGACAGAATTTATCCTCGTCTTAGGTGTGGCTAATAGTGTGAAGTTTTCGAAAGAAATCTTAACTTAAAAAAACATATCCTTGTGAGGACATCGATTGTGTGGATTAACGAGTCACTGCTTGTTGTTATTTGCAGTTCTTGTTTCCTGTTCCTTTGCAAACCAGCATAGTATGACTTGTGTGTTGAAACCATCTCAAATTCGTTCATTGATATAGCTCATATACTAAGTATAAACTCTTGTACTAAGTCTTGATGTACACAAAAGATGTAGTGACTATTAACACTAGCTGGCTATCCAATTTGTACTAACTGGACCAGATCTAGTATTATCGCGTTTCCACTTCACAAGTATTTGATCATTTTTAAGTCTAAACGACTCTTTACTTGTGTATTTTAGGCTAATCGGGGATTAACACAATCAACAACAGATCTTCATCAATATCCGGTTTATCCTAATACTCTCAATTGTATGGAAGGACGTAATTCAAATCAATCCTTTCAGAATTCTACACCATCATCTGGGTTATTCACTATTCCTTCAGGAACTCAAAATCAGCAACTAAATTGCTCGGTTCCACAGCTTGTATCAGCAACTCCACCTGATTATGGTATAAATGGTCTGCCTGTTACTACCAATAATACGAATTTAGCGTACATACCCACCACCAGGCCTACATCAGGTAATATATATATAACATATTAGATACATTTAAACCTCTTTATTTACTTTGAAATGTGCCATTGACGTTCGTTGCTATAAAATATATTTTATTTATTGCCCCCCCCATACGATGCTGTTCACAAAAGGATGGAAACAGACTACTAAATAATCATATTTTTGTAATGTACCTAATTTCACCATATAGTGTAGAACATATCCATAACTCCAAAAAAGACTAGGTTTTTATGGTAGGATAAGTAGTTGATCAAACGTAAATTACTTGATGAGATGGTCATAAAGATTTATCGCTCAAGTGCATGCTTATGATATACTATATGCTAAGTTTGCTTGTTCAGAAATTTAAGTGTTATTAATGTTAGGCAGAAGTGTTTATACGTGTGAGACCTAACACATATTGGATCATATAAGTTTATATTCACTTAATTGCCATGGTTCCAAGCAGGTTGGTGATATAATCAAGTGTCACACTCAAGTCTGATCCATAGTCCATTATGTGGTTTGTTTTGTTTGTTGAGCTGTGTTGACATTTCGAGATTAATGAATTGTTTTACGTTTCAGCTGACCAGTTAAATGTATCTAAGCAGTCGGTTTTTATTTCTTCTTTTGAATCATTCACTAAATATCCATACAGATTGTAAGACCTACTCGATTTCGTCCAAAGATTGTCATCTTGTACTTTATTTCATGTTTTTTGTATTACAGGTTTTCTTCATCCGCCTCGGCCGTATGAAACAAATCCACATTTGCAGTCTTTTCCAACCACAAATACTATTTCCAATTCATCCTTTCATGCAAGTTCTTACTCGGATTTTAATGCATCTAATCAATACAATCCGTCGGTTTATAGTCCCCTACATTCACCTACTATGGAAAATAATCAGGTCTATACTTCACAAGGTGGTTCTACTTCAGTGTGTGACTACACTGTTTATTCTCAGCCTTCGAACTTCGAGTGTCGTTCATCCGTTCCGTTAAATTCAGGTGGTCACCCCACATCAGAGTTTACCAATATGCAAGCAGTTTCTCAAGTTTATGGTGAGCAACAACAACATTCATCTCTTAATCCTCAATTTGATAAACCTAGTCCCGTGTTGCCCACAAATCCAAGAACACTTACTCCTGGACAGAATGTACTACCTTCCACAACAGCTTATAATATGGACCCATCTGTTAAATCGCCTAGTCTCTACCCACCACATGTCACGAATGAGGTGCATGCAATTTCCAATTCTGTCGGATCGTATGGAATGACTCCACCATTACCTCCAGTTCCCATGATGACCAATAATACAACACATCAAAGTCACCCGCAACCACCTCTTCCAAGACCTGGAAATACTCTACAGTCTGCCACACCTCGACATACAGCTTATGAACAATCCGGTGTTTTTCGAACACCAGGAACTGCAGCGTCTGTATCTGACTGGAACAGTTTAAAAACACCAATCAACCTTCTTCAAGAACGTTGTTTGTTACCATCAGATGGACCTGATCTACCACCCAAACCTGCATTGACTACTCCAGTAAGCAAGGTATTTTTTGACCCGAGAGTGACTAATCCTAAGGGGTTATCAGCAGAAATCCTTGGGGATGGTAGTCGGTGAATATAATGACTTCATTGTTAATTATTAAAATGATATTCTTGTTGAATATCTGATGTACTTAGACAAATGCTTGGGCAAATAGTTGATTGGTGATCATCAAACGGTTATCGAGATTAGATTCTTAACCACTGTAATATGTTCGCATATGTAGCCCTTTTTAATCAGAATAGGGTTCAATACTTGCATTCGTTTTATTCAGATGGTTTGTAGATATGACTGGACATCTTTGTCATCCTATTAATTACTTCATTTAGTCTGTTTGGTATTGGGAAGCCTGATATTGTGTAGAGTAATCTAATTAGCGCCTACAGTTTCCCTTATCGGAGTGTGTTGTTTTAGGAGCCATGATTGTGAATTTTTTGCTACGCTTAGTCACCTCATCAGGAACTACATTTTTGTGTAGTCTGTGTACACTTATTTTCTTGGTCTTAATGAAACTAAGTTCTGAACGTTTTGATAGAATTTTGAAAATTGCCCTGAATAGTTAGTGTATAACGTCCTTGTAAATATATGGTCACTTATAAAGTTGAATACTATAGTCTATCCTTCTGTGAAGACCCGAAATTGTGTAAATCTATTCTACGGTCACGCGTTGTTTTTGTGTGTAGTCCTACCTTAGTATCAATATGATTTTCAAGTTATGGATTCAAATTCTTTTCACTGGATACTGTTTTGTAGTCGTTTTCTGAAGAACTTTGTAAACTCAACTTGCGTTATATTACGGTTGTGTTTAATATTTATGCATATCATTTTGTGTGTATATGTTATAAATCCTTCCACTATCCTCAGTTCAGTTAATTTTAGGTCGTCTGATTAATTTTACGTATTTTAACAAAACTCACCATCATTTATAGGTTTTACAGTACTTTGTTTATGCTTTTGATTTGTTTTGATTTTTCAGATTAATTGTGATCAAGACGTGATGCGATGTACGTTAACAAATGTTCCATCAACTTCAAAACTTTTGACTCAGTGTCGTTTACCTCTTGGTCTTGTTATGCATCCGTTTCGAGATATGAGTAGTCTACACACTATTAGTTCAACTACCATAGTACGTTGTAGGTCTTGTCGTACTTATATCAACCCGTTCGTACAGTTTATGGATTCCGGTCGACGCTGGAGGTGTAGTGTTTGCTTTCTGGCTAATACTATCCCAGATGAATTTTACTATGACCCTGGAACTCAAACTTTTGGTGACCCTTCTAGAAGACCCGAAATTCGTTCTGCTACTGTAGAATTTATTGCGCCTTCAGAATATACAGTTCGTCCTCCTCAACCGGCTACTTACCTTTTCTGTTTTGATGTCAGTCATAATGCAATTGCTACTGGTTATTTACAGCTTGCCTGTAAACGTTTAGAAGCGTTGATTGATCGGATCCCAGGTGACTGCAGACGTCAAATAGCCTTTATGACCTTTAATTCTAGTGTTCACTATTACAAACTTTGCGGTAAGTTTTATCAACATTATTTTAACATATATATACTTCCTAGATCAAATGACCCTGCTACTTTCATCTCTATCTGCTTGTTATTTTAATGAATAAAATACATGTTACAGGGTAAAGTAACTAAACTTAATCAAGTGACTGATGAAGTAGTCAATTGATTGACAATAAATCAGGAGTGACTAGTGATGGCTTTAGTGATACAATTTTAAAACTAACATGACTTAATGAAGAAGCCAGAGAAGCTTTCAAGTTCTATCCAGCGGAATTGCTTATGTATAATGAAACTACTTAACCCACAATATTTGCGTTAGGTCAGTCTCTAGGCGCGAAATATAATTCGGTCGATTACGTTAGCCTGTGCCAAATTGGATGATTTTACTGTTTTACACATGCCAGATCAGCCTATTCCTCTGTGTATTGTCAGTTTAAGGGGAATTAGAATGAGAAACTATTGGCTAAGTAAACGAAAACAAGTCATTGTTGTATGAAGTCACTAACCATTGTTTCGTACGGCGTGGTGTATGGAATTTTTAGACAATTTTATATAAGTAATGAAATCTAGTGGTCGGGAACAGTAGATGAAACTGCAATACATAAAATACAACAATACATTTCACTGCTCATAATTTATTTTATTTGCTTGACTGATGTTTCTCAAGCACATTTTTACTTTCAATCTCTTTGTGTTACGAATTTGGGACAACCGTACTGATAGATTATTTTGCTTGCTTCTGTGATGATGCTTTTCTGCCTATTTAATAATATACTTCGTCCAAGCCCTTGTGTTAATTGCCTTTTGATAGTTATATCTCTTCCCGTGTCGCTTACATTCTGTTTTATTCGGACTACACTAAGCATCGATTTACTAGTGAACCAGATTCTATGCAGTTTCGTCCAAACAGTTATTTTGTACTAACTAGTTGTAATAAAATTTACCACTAGTCATTAGGTGTAGTCCTTAATCGATTGAATTGTTTAACTTCTGTTCACTTTTGATTGCTTTAGGGGAAACTATGAGAATGCTAATTTGTCCTGATTTAGAGGAAATATTTCTACCTGATGATGAAGGTTTGATTAATAGAGTTGAAGATTCGGTTGATTCACTACGTGATTTTCTTCTGCATTTACCTGAAAATTTTATTGGTACAAATGATACAGGAAATTGTCTCGGATCTGCTTTACAGGTAATTTCGTTATTAATGTGAAATATACTTTACTAACTTAATATGCTAGTTATTCGATATTTTACTGGTAAGGAGCAGTGACTAGATAGTTAAAGAATTCGGTTTTCAACCAGTAGATCGCGCATTTGGACCTCTTTCCACCTACTTCAATTTGAGCTGTCAGGTAACATCACTGAGCTTTGTGCAAGCAATTCAGTTCACAAACGTGTTTTCGGTGACCGGTTTCTTTCGGATATCCCAAATCTTCAAGTGGTTCTTTATTCTAGACAATACGTACATTTTTAAAACAAAAGGGATAGCTCTGTCACTTTAACAATCAGACCTTATAAGTAATAAGGGGCAATGTTTTTTCTTACTAATAGTTCATGAAAAGTGTTCATAGCAATAAAAGAGCAATTATTCTTGCTTGTAATACATTTTATGGTAGACTACCAAACGTTGAAGTCCATTTTTTTAGCGGAAAATACTTTCGAAAAAGATTAAAATTTCATTTGAGAAAAATCTTAAAATGTTCAACTGTTTTCTGATTTGGGGACTTGTCGAGTGAAGTAACGTCCAGAAACATCAAATAATAAAAGTAACTGGGTCGTACTAAAAGAACTCAAAAGTCTAGTATTTTGTAGAGTTTGCTCATATTGATTATTTAAGTATTTTACTATAACCAATAAAATTGTAGTTGTAGTTATTTTATTGGAAACATGTATGAAATATCAAAATTATTAGTTTATAAAAAGTAACTAAGCACTCATTATAGTGTAATGTGTTTTAAACAGCACCAAAATTTATTCACCTGACTACGGAATCTGTATCGATAACGTCAATCAACTTCAAATGTGATAATACTTAAATAAAACTTAAAATTATTGACCTCTGGCTTAGTTATCCTAGAGATCAAATGCTTGCTCTATTGTTAGTACGAACGTAGCATTACAATTTAGAATAAGACTTCAACCGTCTTCTAACACTACAAGCAGTAACTAGAAAACAGATCTTTTACAACCAATCTTTTTTTATTTGCTAAAGATGCAAATATTGTATAATTTTTAAATAACCAGCTTCCGTGTACAGAAATCTCATTATCAAGAATGTCTTTACTTTTCCAGATAAAGTATAGTTACGCGAATTTTGTTTAGCGTTAATTACGCATCAGATGGTTGCTATTAAGCAACAGGCTTGTTGATAGCTCATTTGTGTTCACACCACTGGACTTGAGTCATTTTCGTTCTTATTAAATGGTCATGTTTTTGATAATTTTATATTCATTTCCTTATCCCAGCCGTCCTTAAAGTATTTAGGTTGAAGTAATATTTGATTTAATTTCGAGTGGCTTTATTACTAATAATAAATATCGAAGTCATTAAACTGGACCTAAAATATTTTGGTGAATTTTTGATTATCTGCTTTCAGGCTGCTCTGAAGCTGATTGGTGCAGTAGGTGGTCGGATAACCGTATTCACTACTTGTCTACCAACAGTTGGTTCAGGTGCTCTCAGTTTGCGAGAAGAACCATGTGATCGGAGTTCAGTCGATGTGAAGCACTTGGGCCCATCAACTGACTTCTATAAAACATATGCTTTGGATTGTTCACATAAACAGGTATACATATTTGCTTGGTATTTATTAAAGATATATGTTTAACATGGTTTACCCTCATTTTCGGTTTATTACACCTATTTAATCTATGCGTCTACGATCTACTTTCAACTATTATACGCGCGAGCTGAAGCACTGTCTTCTAAGTCGAATTTGACAGTAAGTAAGTATCGTTGATTCGCCACACGATAGATTTAACATACTATGTAGTAGTTAGAAGTACGTAAGTCCTTATTAGCTGACAATTATTGCACGGTTGTCAGTCAGTGAGTAACAACGTAGAACGTCGTACGTACGTACATCAGTTCGAGTTACCATACAACATTAGCACACACATACAATTGTCGACCCAAATCCCGTAGTGGTAGAGGTGGTAAGAGTATAAGCAGTAATCGGAAAGATTAGGGTTTGAAGATGTTATTTAAAGAGTACAAACCAGTGAAATAAATTTGGAAAGAGGAAAAAAGGGACATGAAGGATTCAGAAGATTAGAATTTGGGAGAACATAAAGAGTGGATGCACCTGCGCCATTGCAAACGATTTTGAGCCATGTCATTCAAGGTCTCTAACCATCGGTTGCTATCGTCTCGCGGTCCCCAACCAGGTAGTCTACACCTACCAACATGACTCAGATCACTTGTCAGTGACTTCATGGACTTGTGCCATGTTTTGGTTTGGCCGCCCCTAGCTTTCTTCCAACCTACTCCTATACCACTGAACATAGCACGTCGAGGCAGTCGGTCGTTGGGCATACGTAACACGTGTCCCAGCCATCTCAACTGATGAAGTTTCACTACTTCATCAATTGATTTGCCATCCTTACCTAGTACCCGTTTCCTAACAACTGTGTTACTTACTCGATGGTCCCAGGATATACGAGCAATATTTCGAAGACACCTATGATCAAATACTAGTAACCTACGAATATCCTCTACTCTTACCGGCCATGTTTCACTGCCATAAAGTAGGACGGAACGAACTGCTGCGCAGTAAACCCGTCCTTTGGTTGATAGACGGATATCTCGCCTACGCCATAAATGACGCAAGTTGGCAAAAGCTAGTCGAGCCTTCTGTATCCGTGCTGAGATTTCGTCACACTCCAAACCACAAGGGCTGATGAGACTTCCAAGATAAGTGAAGCGGTCGACACACTCAACTACTTCACTCCCTATCACTAGTTCGGGTGTCGATGTAACCCAATCCTGAAGCAACATTTTGCATTTCGAGGAGGAGAATCGCATCCCGAACATGCTTGCATTGTTGCTTATAATGAAAAAAAAAAAAAAAAAAAAGTCATCGTCTTCACCAAATAAAACTATGTCATCAGCATATTCTAAGTCAACAAGTGAACCTCCTGGTAGAAGTTCAACCCCTCTAAATTTAGATGAGGAGAGTGTTATCTCTAAAAGTACGTCAGCAACAAAGTTGAACAAGAATGGGGAGAGTGGACAGCCCTGACGAACACCACTTGAGGTAATCAATTCTGATGACAGTTCGCCATAAGCTCTCACTCGACCAGTTGTGTTCGAGTAGAGAGCCTTTATAAGGTTAATGTACTTCTTTGGTACTCCTTTCAGTGACAAACACTGCCATAGAACCTCACGATCAACAGAGTCGAATGCCGCCTTAAGGTCGAGAAATACTACCATTGTGGGGCGTCTGAATGTGTGTCTGTGTTCTAGAACCTGACGTAGTGTGAATATCTGATCTATACAACCACGTCCAGGTCGAAAACCAGCCTGGTTTTCTCTAGTCTGCTCTTCACGAGCTTTAGTTAGGCGTCGAAGTATTATTGAAGCTAATATTTTAGACACTATATTAGTCAAACTGATTCCTCTGTGATTGTCACAAGAGGACTTTTGTCCTTTCTTATAGACTGGCACAATCAGTGATTGAGACCAGTCAGATGGGATTACGTCCAGTTCCCAAATTCTACCTAAGACCTCAGTTAATCTCATTGCTAATACTGGACCACCATCCTTAAAAATCTCAGGAGTAAACCTGTCAGGGCCTGCTGCTCTCCCTCGTTTCAGATTTCCTATGGCTTTTTCAACTTCGTAAAGAGACGGAGGACCTACATTAACTTGCCATTCAGGTTGACTGGAGATCGTGGGAAACCGAAGTGTGGCTGAAGGCCAGTTGAACTGATCCCTAAAGTGTTCTGCCCATCGATCCAATCTCCTGGATTGAGAATGAATAATATGTCCATCTTTCTCTGAGATTGTTTCGCTAACGGTCGGGTTCCTAATTCCGGTTTCCTTAACGAGTCTGAACAATTGTCTGCTATTACCTATTGCCGCTGCCTTTTCCATCTCTCTTGCTTTCGCTACCCACCACTGTTCGCGATCATTGCGTAGACTTCTTGTCAGCTTGCGCTTAAGCTGACTCCGCTCTTCATTATGTTCAGAGCCAGGTGGAATGAGTTTCCGAGCATCTATCAGTGAGATAGATGCTGCTGAGATCCAGTGTTGCTCCCTAACCTTCTGGTTTACCTTACTAGCAGATATCACTGCTGTTTCCACAGCTTTTCGGATATCATTCCATGCTGCCTCGGGGTGGGCATCACATACATGGCTGCCTAACTGTTTTCCTAGTTGTTCCTGAAATATACTCTTAGCTTGACTATCATTAAGTAGGCCCTAAGAGGTTTCCTTGCAGCGTCTTTCCTACGTCCAGTAAGACGCAAGCAAATACGCGCTCGCACTAGAGCATGATCTGAATCTAGGCATGTGCTCCAGAATGAGCGACAGTCTTCTATCGAGCCCCTCCATCGGTGGCTGATAGCGATGTGATCTATTTGGGTCCAACGTTGGGACGAATTAGGGGGTCGCCATGTTAAAAGATGTTTTTCCTTATGCTTAAAGTTAGTATTTGCAAGGAACAGGCGGTTATCTGAGCATAGCTGCAACAGACGGTCGCCATTATCTGTTCTTTGAGCCACGACACCATAAGATCCACCTAGGTGTCTTTCCCTTTCACTTAGTTTACCTACTTGAGCATTAAAGTCACCGGCCACTATTACTACATCCGAGCGCCTAGCTTTTCGGAGAAGGTCCGAAAGCTTTCTGTAAAACTCATCTTTTACATCATCTGAGCTGCAGTCAGTGGGAGAATAGGCAGAGACGACGAAGAGGCAACGACGAGTGTCCCTATCTTTCCGAGTCTTTACTGTTCCGTTCAGTCGGACAGCGCACAAACGACTGTCTACTGGGATCCACTCTAAGAGAGCTAGTTCTGCCCTAGGACTCAATGCTATACCTACGCTGGCAAGGCCGCGGGAAGCAGCATCTTGGCTTCCAGATAAACGAAGCGTGAATCGAGTCAGTTCGTCACTTTGACATGGTGAGGCCAAATGAATGACGCGCTATTCGAATCCTGTATGCGCGTGAGAAGGTTAGTCGAGGAGATAGGACAGTTATTATTAAGTGTAGGAAGGATTTAAATGTGACCAATTTTGTCTCGTATACTGTTGCGCGTATGAAAGCTGATGTCACTTTCCGGCTGCCCACACCGTGGAAGGGTATTTCTTGAGGAACCTGAAAAGGAAATCGGATTAGTGTTGGTCTTAACGACCTGGGAGCGTGACCCCAGGGCCCGAGGGACAACTGCTCGAGGCCGGTCGCGCACGGCCATTTCGTGGGAGGTTTTTAATGTGTTAGCTCCGTTCTCCAAAGGGCCTTACCGCCGGAGATGGAAATCCGTGAGGTAAAGTGGGGTGTGACATTTTCAGGGTCAACCTTTTCTAACCCCTTCCTTGTGAGAAGGCAGCATCGCTGTAGATGTTGGTTGTCCGAGAGAAACACCTTACTGCTGTCACACCCCTCTACAGTCAGCAGTACGGCTTCGCCCTCAGACCTTGAGTTGCTGCTTTTAGTCTTGCCGTTCTCCAATCGACCTGTCTGGCATGGTAGAATCTACAGGAACATGTGTTCCAGCCAATATAACTCGGTTGGGTCATCACGATAGGCAAGCCTGACCACCGCGTCAAGGTAGCAGCTACGGTCGGGTTGCACGGTTGTTGTGATTCCTGACCCCCAATAATGAAATTTTTTCCAGTGTAATTAAAAAAAATTGAAAAACAAATGATTGGCTAACTTGTCTTCGTGTGTGTTCATGTGCTAATGGACAAACACCTTGTTGCCTGTAATAATTTGGTAATTGGCCGTAAATTGTGCATCTTTTTAATGTTAGCTCAAATCATAGTAAAATAAAGTAGTTTGAATGGTTGTCGACATTTTCATTTTCACATTAGAATTTGATCTTTAAAAATTCTTCACTGTTCCATCCGCGTTTTGATAAAAAATTGCAAATCTATTAGACCGCCAGACTATACTTCTGGCTGTGAATAGATATTGAGATAAAAAGTGGGATTAAATCCTCGATCATGTAGAAATGGAACTGAAGTCTTCAGGTATCGTGACAAGAGAAAGACTATGCATATTATTAAAATTAAACCGGGAAGAACTGATAACTATTTATTGTGTATGACAGTTTTTTAATTGTGATAGTGATTACTAAACCTAAAAGCTAATAAAATGTTTAATGCATATTTACAACTGGTTGGTAATTAATGTCATGTAATTCAAGTCCTTTTTAATGCAGATCGAATCCTATCGACCAAGTTGCAATGTGGCCACTAGTCTAAATGACTCAACGTTGCGTGCATGTGTATGTAACAGTGTAAATTACATATTGTGCTTGGGAAGTATCATATTGGGTTTATTCTATGTAATGTCAATAACAAATGTTTTGTAGGTATGCAGTCAGACAAAGTCATTGTATCATATTGGGTTTATTCTATGTAATGTCAATAACAAATGTTTTGTAGGTATGCAGTCAGACAAAGTCATTGTCTTAATTTTTCAATTCCTTAATGAAGACGCAAACGTTCTGAATATTTGAAATATAAAAAAATTAGAGTTGACTAATTCATTACTATCTACTCTATACCATTCATTTTATCGTACAGTAACTTAATCAACATATTAGTAATATGTGCCGAACTTCACAATTTTTTTATTAATCACTTCAGAAATCATTTTTTGAAATGATTTGATTTCTTTGTTAAGCATATTAGAGGGACACCGACAAATTCTATGTACCAATTACCAATTTAGGAATATTTTAATATCAAACCCGAAACAGCTAAACGTTTTAATAGCAACTATCTTCGAGAAGTAATTAAAATATAGGTAGTATTAAATGCTATTATTAAACAGGTTTAGGTCTGACTTATTAATTTTTTGGTCGATTAGACTTGCTAAATGCGAATGAGGTCAATTATATAAATTGAAATTTAGCTGTACCAAAGTTTAATTTTGATATAACAATTAAAAGTCTATATTCTTCAGCTGAACAAACCAAAAAAATATTGAAAATGTGTTATTGAAGTTTGTATGTACTATTATGAAACAGATAAAGAGTATAATGATTATTTCCTTTAATTCACTGTTAACATAATGACATATACTCAGATAACAGATAGTACTTATCGATCAGTGCGAATACAAATTAACCTTAACACAGATAATAAAGGTTTTTTAATTATACGGCTAAACATATTCTTATGTTTGCATGAGTGAAGGACACATGGCTTAGTACTTGTACATGTTTATGTATACGATTAAATAAATGCATACTATTGGATGACTGTGTTTATTTTGCACCTTCAGTGAGACGGATATGATGCATATGTACCAATAATTATGTCTAAATAATACTACGTATTACGTTCACGGAAAGACTGTGATAACCTCGTCAAGTATTTAAGCACATTTTCATTGCTTTGAGTCAGTACGATTTAGTATAGCGTAAACTGCAGGCCATACTACTACCACTGTTTATTATACTTAAATTTGTCATTATTACAGTGTGATCGTTTCTCGTAATCACAGGATTTTACCTAACGATTTTCGTTGAATACATAAGAATGATCTCAGTACGGTTACCGAAAAAATACGAAACGGAACAGATGCGACTGTAAAGCTATTACATTGATAATTAACGTTCGACTTAATGACGGCTGAAGTGTCATTGGAAATGTAGAGAATGTGTATGGGATGCGAATGACAGTAATTTATTGATGAAATTTGTAACGAATTAAAGAATAAAAATTAAAATCAAATTATGCGTAGCCTTAAAAAGAGCCTTCTATCGGTCTCTTGGTTTGAACCCCACAATAATTTCTCTTTCAGGATTTTCCATCTCCCCATTCCCGTATTTTTTCAACAATCACCTCATAAAACAGTAAAACACACTAGATTCGCAGCTAGTAACTAAAATATGAACGTACCGTTTTATTTGTGACACGAAGCTTTGGTACGACCATGTCTTCCACTGCAGTTCTGTAATTGTGCCACATATTGGATGATGGAATCAGGGAATTGCGGTTGACGGTCCTAGCAACAAAACGAATGAAACGTAACATTGCAGCAACAAACGATCCAAGTTCTTTCTTCAGCAGTTTCACTTGGAGGCTGAGCAGAATTGTACATGTCACATAGTCCATTGGCGTGAGCATTTTCGTCTATATTGTTATCTCTCTGTCATTGAATTCTTCCGAGTTTGTGAAAACAAATCATCTTCATCACAGCGTTGCATCCAAATCCACGTTCGTTCGATAGTCCGTAATATTTGTCAATTGGATTCCTGGTATTTCTTCATCCATAAAAGTGGGGGGCTTAGACATGAAGCTCATTTGTCAAGGATAACGTCAACAGTGTTTGAGGCATCTTTCTGATGCTTATGGAAATGAAAATCATGAACTGCTTAATGGCACCATGTTTCCCTTTCCTAATTTCTGATATTGATCGGAACGCTCGAAGCAATGCATCTAGTACTTTGTAAGTCACGTTCGTAGTTTGGAGAAAATGTGATCATTCGAAGAGTATTTACTTTTTATATCACTTTTCAGAAAATAGACAATAATTACTATTTTAAAACTAATCATTTCATTTGACAAAACGGAATGAAACTTTTTTTGACCAAATAAAATACAAAATAACCGTGCGATAGATGATATTCGTCCTTGTTTAATAATTTCACGGGAACCAGATGAATAATTATATGATGAAATAAATAAGATCATTTACATATTTCAAAATAAATCAGCTATTCTCAATAGTTGTTAGAGATAATAATAAAGTTTAGTCCACTAAATATTTATTATGCCTTACTGAAACTTGTCTGTGCTTGTCCATATTACATATTCTATTTTTGAAATTCTAGGTAGGAGTTGATATGTTTATTTTCAATTCTCAATATTGTGACATTGCCACAATATCTGGAGCTAGTCGATATTCAAGTGGAACAGTTCATCATTATCCAGACTTTTATTATACACCAGATGAGGATGAACATATATTTCACACTGATGGTAAAACTAATGTTACGTCAGATGATTGTAATAAACAACAAAAAAATGTATGTGTTGGAGTGGAACAATTTCGTCGAGATTTCGACCGGTATTTAACCAGAAAACTTGGCTTTGAAGCTGTTATGCGCATTCGATGTACTCAAGGTTTAGCTATTCAGGTTAGTATTAGCTAATAGTTTAAAATCATTTTCTGTATATTATTGTGTTGTCAGTGTGTGGTGTATGCTACCTATGTTGACAGATATAAGTAGTATATAACATCAATCACAAGGGGAATGTCTGGCAGCAGAAAATTGAAAAGATTTAATTGAAAGCAACAGGAATTAAGGAACGATGAGGTTTGTAAGAAACAACTGATGAAAGATGTGCAAAGGATGTATTTAATGTATAGTTGTCATATTTTACGAAGAGATTCTGTAATTTCGTATTAAACAATAAATTGGATATCCCCACCAAGTCTTCGTTCACTACAAGTGTACTACTTTTAATTTATCTTTATTTTATTTCTCTATAGTTTACCTAGTATTTCATGTATAATGTTGAAAAGCGTTAAAAGGATTTGTAAATAATAAACACGTAGAATAGTGGAGAAGAAAATCAGTCTGATTATTGTATTTTTAACTGGTTACTTAAAATACAGAGAAATCATTTTTGAAATGGTGGAGAAAACCATTCTTATTAATAAAAGTAAGAGAGATAGTGGCAGTCAGCATACAGAGTTGGTTAGGATTTCGCAGATGCTCATTTCAGTTACATTTTAAAAGTATGTACGATTTGGCAGTTTCATATCTAGATGAATGAATCTGCGGTATCTTCATTTCCCTTTTGCTTTAGATAGAGAAATTGCAGACTTTGTATGTCCTCTCAAACTTATATCATTTTCCAGACATTTTACAATCAGTCTATTTCCACGCATATCAGGAAACATGTTAACATGTTCGTTTCCTTTTGAAATGCAAAATACTAACCTTTTTCATAATATTAATTTTTCTTTCACTATAGACTTTCCATGGTTCGTGTTTTGTACGTTCTACGGACTTGATTGCTTTACCAAATGTGAGCCCTGATTCTGGTTATGCTGTCCAGTTAGATTTATCTGAAAGCTTAGAAAAATGTGCTACAGTCTGTTGCCAAGTTAGTTAATTATTTAAAACTTATTTCGAATAATTTTTCATTATTTGCCCGCTATTTTTCCACTATTGACCTGGATTCTTTTCTGATTTCTGTATTTTTAACCGTGTCCCTGAAACCGCTAAATTAAAATTCTGGTGCAGATCAGTATGGTGTTGAATGCAATAGAATTGGCGGGTGGATCACTTCCTTACAAATCAGCTAAACTCACAAAATACAGACCACACATTGGTGAATTTTTCTCGCTAACAACTAATGATATTAGTTAAGATCACTAGCGATTCTACTAATAGAAAAAACGGTTATTACATAATCACTTTTTCGATGAAAACATTTATCAGAGCAATATTATTATTATTATATTATTTGAACACATAAATATTGTTACAAAGGGGCACTGAATACATATGCGCCACACAAGTCACTTGATTTGTGTGTGGGCTGTGATACTGTCCGTGTGCCCAGACAGAAGCAGGTGGTTTTCTTAGGGAGTCACACCCGGAGCCTTCAGCCTAAAGGTTTAATCCATAAGACAGTGGAACAACACCAAGAGATGCAGCCCCATGGCAGCCGGTTACCAATAATTGGTTCATACACCATTTTTCTCCCTCAGAATCCTGGAGACCGTGTACACCATTGGTTAGGAATCAGGATTTTCCAACTCCCGTAGGTGGACCATCCGTGTTCACTAACCCGGTTAAGACGCCGGACATTCGCTTTTCGTCATCTCAATTTCATAAACACCCCTCCGCGAAAGGCATTGACTAGAACTTCCTTGGCAGTGGTTATGTGAGAGTATTTCGAGAAAGAGAGCTTACTCTCCCCACCCTCGGTCGTACCAGGGCGTCACTGCAATATAAGATTTATCACCAATCCTAAACTGTCAACGATATACTATGCTGTTGAAATCGACGATTTTATTGAAAGTCATTCAGGGCGGTTGTCTTAACAGATAACTCTGTTTTTTGGGCCAAAATGTGTTAGTTTCTAGTGTCAGCGTAAACACCAGTGACTGTCAGAGTACAAGTCCATACTTAACTGTTAAATCTCAAATACTGTGAAAAACACGTCTTTGTTCTCACTGCCAAACTTAGTAATAATAGATTTTGTCAAAACTTATCCCAAAAGAGCTTGATTATTTTGAACTCATAGCACTAAAAGACGTTGCTAAACCAGCGATCAAAATTGTTTGATGGATAAAGGTAATACAATGGGTTAACTCTCAAGTAAAAAAATACATGGAAATAAGAAGCTCAGTTGACTTTTAATTCCATTTATGTACAGTACAGTTTCATCGACACATTCAAAATTTCTTTCAATAATGGTACTTCATTTTAGTGTTTATTATTTAGCCTCATATGATAGGACCATCGAATGGTTAATGCTGAGGTTCAGCATATGATCCTAGATAAAAGAAAAACACTAACCGATTGATGAGGCTATAAGTTTTCATTGACTGAGGTGATAGAACATGTTTTTTTTGGCTAGCCACAGACTGTCCCAATGTACAATACTGCCTGGTGTAGAAATGAGTTGAATAATGCTAAAAATCTTATTACAATTATGTTTTGGTATTTTGTACTAATGATATTAAGAAGTATGATTGTGTCGCCAACTTGAAGATCGATTGTTTTTTTATGATTATTCCTTATGGTTTGTTTACTGAAAAACAAATTTTGATTGTGTTGTAATTCATAGAAGTCTCAATTTATAAAATTTGATATCATAGTGTATGTCAACGACTTTCTTCATTAATTAGTCTGGCTTAGTTTTTTGACTATATATGGTGATAGAGAAGTTCATTTTTGTCAGTCTTGTTCATTGTCGCTGTGTATACGTATTTACTTTTATTTATTTTAATACCTAATCTTTGTCTGGTCGTATGTTGCATCACTCATTTTTATTGGTTTTTCACTGCCCCTTACCATTTTGTGGAATAAGTTATTCTGTATATTATTCACATTAGTGTTGAAACTATTTGTTAATTTTCTTTTATATTGAAAGACTTGTTTCAAATGTTTACTTTGATACTTGTTAAGAATGCCATTCTATGTTTACTACATATATGAATCACATGATGAGATGACGTGGTATTTTCTTTTTATCTACTTGTCGGTAAAATTCACCATTGGTGTTACAGCAAACAATTTTTATGCGAAGTTAAAATACAAAAGTATATTATTATTGGTGTCAACTACTTATTGGTTGTGCTGTAAATTTGTCACTTCATACTGAACTAATAAACTCCCATAATTACACAAATCCCAATTATTTGAGACCAATTCTTTAGTTTACATCTTTTTCAAATATTTAGACAATAATAATAATATATTTACGGTATAGTTTATGAATTTGCTAGGTTTTAATCAGATGTAAACTTGGATTTCTTCTGGGAAATAACTGCTTGAATTAATATAAAATTTTTAGTTCAGTAATCTTGATTTCATTTTAGTATCCACTAAACTATACTGTAATCTAAACATTAGTGTGGTATATCATTTTGACTCGTTATCATTAAATGTTGTGTTTTATTGTATAACCACTTACTGAAATACTATATATAAAATAATGTCTATTTGATTGATAACAGTTTTGGCTGAAACTCGTAAAATGTAATCTTAATTTTATTTAGTCGGAACTCAATAAAAAAATTACACGTATTTAAACGTGCTCGAAATTATATTTTTATTTCTTTCTAAGATGATTTAGTGTTGTTAGATTTGTCTAAATTATAGATAAGTATGGAAATAATAAAGTATTTATATAAACCCATACTATTATTTGCTTTTCATAGGCTGCTGTATTATATACGTCATCGAAAGGTGATCGTCGCATTCGTGTACATACTTTGTGCTTACCAGTTGTACACACAGCAACGGAAGTATTTCAAGGAGCAGATCAAGGTGCAATAGCTTGTCTTCTAAGTAAAATGGCTGTTGATCGGACGATATCTTCTGGTCTTTCAAACGCTAGAGAAGCTTTAGCGAATGCTGTAGCAGATGCTTTATCAGCATATGCTACCACTTCTGGTATTACACTTAACAGTAACTCAACAGCTTACGGTCTACCTTGTCCACCGAATCTACGACTGCTTCCTTTGTATATTTGTGGTTTGCTTCGTTTTAAAGCTTTCAGAGTTGGAGTAACAACACGTTTAGATGATAGATCAGCTGCTCTAGAGCGAATTAAAACTGCTCCTCCTACTGATTTATTAACTTTAATATATCCAAAGTTATATGCTGTACATCGTTTCGTTTCAAAACCTTTGTCTTCTCATACAACCCTTGCACAAAAAGCTGCTAGTCTTCGTTTAGTTGATCATGATGACGACCAACGTCCTTCTGATTGTGACGGGACATCTTCTTCAAATGGAAGTGAAAGTAATTCAGAAGCTGACCAATTACCATGTCAATTACACTTGTCCGCTCAATATATTACACGATCTGGTGTATTTTTATTGGATACTGGTGAACTTTTATTACTATTAGTTGGCTGTGGTGAAGATGTTTCTCCAGGATCAAACAATGATTCTGACATTTTACGTCAACTTCTTGGTATTTCATCACCACGTCAACTCCCTGCACAAGGTGGTCCTTTCATATTACCACCCATTAATTTATCTAATGAAAAACAAAATACAATTACTAATGATAATACTTCTATTCCAATTGGCCGTCGTAGGTTATCTGCTCTAATAAACCTGATTCGAAGACGTCGACCAATTAATAATGCTTTAGTTCTTATGCGTCATGATTCATCGTCAAATCTTAGATCACTTTTCTTATCTTGTATGGTTGAAGATAAAACAGAATCAGCTCCATCGTATCAGGAATTCCTTCAAATGATTCAGAATTTAGTCAGAACATAATTTTTAAAGTGTGTTTATGTTATTATACTTTCTTTTCTTGTGATAATATACCTTCAAGGTTTGATGATGATTATGTAAAAAGGGAACGAAGTTGTTCATCTCTTTTTTTTGGTGCCTTTATAGTTCAAACAGTAGTGATAAATTAATCGGCTTATGCCTGAATATAGTGTATTTTCTTCTTTTCAGTGTATCCTTTTTTTTAAATAAAAAAGAGAACAAATTTTGTAATCAGATTGATCAATTTTAAAAATGATATTAATATCACTATGATCCATCATTAACAACTTGATTGTTTTACAAAATTTGTTGATTGCTTCACATTTATTTACCCCCTTTCTCTCTCTCTCTCTCTCGGTTTTCCTGTGCTTTTTGTTATTTTATTTCAAAAATGTGAATAATTATTAATAGTTCGAACCAATTAATTATGCTAACAGAACAAGAGCATTATCTTTAGGAGTAATTTATAATCAATTAATTATTTATCTGTCTAACTAATCGATCAATTATTACTATCCAAAGTTTTCTTTACTAATAATATTTTTTCTAAAAAAAATTGGTTGTTTTTTCTCTTTACTACCAGCATACTTCATGAAGTTGAAGTAGATTTTTTGTTTCTCTTAAACATTTCCTTCTTGAACTAATTTTTGTTTTAACTTCCTATAGTGTTATGATTTAACATCTTTATTTTAATTGTTTCTCTTGGAACTCTATAAAGATCCACTTATTGTATTATGGTGTAATAATTTAATACATGTGTTTTGTGCTAATGGTTTGATTCAGTTCTGTTAAACTGTGAAAGCGCACATACATAACTATTCGTTATATACGTGTTGTTTGTTCATTTCGCCTGTGTATTATACTGAGTGAATACTTAAATTTTAAGGATAAATTTGTTGATTGTCATAGAATACAATTAGTTCGCAGATGAAAACCGGGAAGTATCTATCAAAAGTCAATGGTTGTTGTTACGTTTCTTTCTGATTAATCGTCCCAGAACCTACTCATGTGTCAAACAGAATAGGCTATTAAGGGGTGTAAGCAAAACATATGTCGACCATCCAACTTGACTATAGTTTATAGCTTTATGAATTAACTTGTCACATTTATTTGGTAACTGATGCCAAATCAATGTCACTATTGAAAGCTTTCGGATCCATGCATGGATCCAATACAGTTTACTTATTACAAAACTGAACAGAAGACATTCATTTTTCAAAGGTAAAAATAATCGACAGAATTTCATATGTTTTCTCTGAAATTCTAGATTTTAAAAGAACGACTGAACTAGCTAGTACCAGTCTTTAAATTGTAGAGTATAACAACTATAAAAAAGATATTTCACCTTAAAATGATCACCTGATTAAATGTACTAATTCAAGTTCAAGGTCGAATTGAGGAGATTTACAATACATTTTCCTGTTAAGTGAAAATTTTTCCACTAAAATGCCTCCCAGAATACTTGCTCGATTAGTGCTATTGTACCGTAGTATATAGTTTTGATAAGACGTCATAAATTCTTAAGATGTCATTCTTGTCGAGCTCGAAACCCGACATCTATAAGCAAAGGCTGATGGTGGCTAGCAATGGAATCGAAGACGTGCGTTTCGACATTACAGGTGTGTCATACTGACAAGTGGCAGATAGGACGAAACCTAGACCCGGTTTTTCTGCCAATTGTCCTTAACCGTTGAATATTGAAAAAATGAATTACCTACTACAAAACGATGCTTTTCAACTTAAGTAATATGCAGTAGGAGTGGATATGATTTGTCAATATACGTCTCAACTATTCTTGAGGGAAAATAAAATCCTTAGTAAAACTCACCATGATTAGCTATATTAATTTACATAGACATGGAAATTATTTCGGTTGAAATTAACCTCAGATCGAAACAGGTTAAATTAGTTGATCGGCACGTTATGCTCAAAAAATATAAGGGACATGTATCTACTTTTTTGATTTTCTGAAGACGAATTAATTTAATATGATTGATTCAATTCTACAATCTTTGAATTTTGAGCTCTGAAATTCGTCTTTTTTTCATTTGCCTTGATTGTTTAAATTAATAGAACAGTGGTTTATTCATAAAATCATTCTGTCTACTTCTATGAAAGTTTCTTATGAAGAATAATTTTCAGATATTTAGTGATAATTTAGAGCTTGGGATATTTTTGCATCCGTCCAAGTTGGCACATCATACGAGACTAAAATTACAAAGATGAGTGCCAAAGTAATGGAAGTATCGGTGATAATATATTTAATTTAGACATGTAATATGATTCGACAACAAAAAATTGATTTGTGAAACAAAGTGAAATGAAATAATTCTAAAATTACCACCGTTGAATTAACTACTTCCATGAATCCGGTGTTCATCTTATTGTGCTAATGAGGTATAGCAACTTGGACCGATGTATATATGTGCCTGGTCCTACGTTGTAGATGACTGAAAATTCCAAGTCTAGAAAAATATAACGAGTGATAGCATTAGGGCTATTGGGACGGATGCTGAGCTATATCACCCAGGGCGCCTATTATTATTATTATTATTATTATTATTATTAATAGCTTTATTCAATATTATATTATTGGTACAATATAGAATTCTCAGCACAAAGTATTTCAACAAGTTTCCGTTTCTTTCTTCTTGGTCGGTCCTCGCGATAAATACTGAGTGGTCGCCAGCTAGATGTTATCAGTCCAGTAAATGAACATGGGAATGATGTACATTCTTTTCGTTGTACATTGCCAGCAACCATATTCTCTCTTTTTGAGCTTTTTGTAACTTTAATAACGAAAGGTTGTACATTTTTCAGAAACGCAGCAGCATAGGTTGTGCGATTAATAGACATAATGATATATTAAAACAAACAAAGATAGATAACTTGTTGAAATATCTAGATGGCAGGAACAGGTAGCCCAGATGCTCAAGCAGGCCGCCCATGATCAAGAACCATGTTCCAAAACCACTGAGCAGAATGCTGATCGGACATCATAAGCTTACGATAGCCAAGCTAGATTTACGGATGTGCCGAGATTTCGTCAAGCACCAATCAGCTAAGGCTGGTGAGATTTCCTATAAAAGAGAAGTGGTTGACGAACTTCTGCTACTTCAATGCTTATGATCAATCTAGGTGTTGAAGTAGAGCAATCCTGCAGCTGATATTTGTCACAGTGACTTCTTTTGTGGGGAAATTAAAACCAAGGTACTCTAGACATCTTGCCCTATTATGAGATTCCGGAAAAGTGCTCATCTATTTATTCCACTAGACTTTTCTACAATAATATAGTCATGCGCTAATTAAAGGCTTGCTTCGAGATGATTTCCCAGTTGGAAGTTGTGACTGATGAAGTCCAACCATGTTGGGAGTAAGACAATGATCACCAATAGTAATAGAAAGGTGCGCAACAGTAGTGACCAAAATAATATGTTTGGATTACCTTTTTCGTATAGATCACTGCTTTTTAGATGTTTCACTATTCCTCATCCGGTTGTGATTGAAATAGTCTCATGATAAATTAAAACGCTTATAGTGTCGTTGAAACAAATGTGGATTTGATAGAATGAAAATATGTCAGAAAAACGTCTTTATTAACCCAGTAAATATATTTTTATTTCAGAGCAGATTCAAATTTGGAAATGACGATGAACAATATGAACTACCATTTTTAAACTGTTTAGCTAGAAAAAATTTAACTGGAACTATATCTAACGTACACCAATACCTTCAAATTAGTATTCAGACTTTATTTTTACGTATCCTTTCAGTACAAAACTTCCGCTGGGTCTTAATTTATTTGAGTAGTTATCAAATTTAACAGCAGAATTAAATAAACTAAAGGAACATAAAAATTTACTGAAATTGGACGGCTTGTTGTTGGATAAAAGTTGAATTGTAGATTGGGATCGTAGTTTGACTTTATCGTCATGAGATCTGTAACAAATCTTAAAACTATACAGAATTGAAATATTCCATAAAACAATCAACCCTTCGAAATATTCGAATACATTAGAAGTGGGAAGATGTTTAACGTAGACTTATTTTGTAAATGATTTCTATCATTATTAATATTTTCCATTTAAATTGTACAATCGTTGTTATTTACAAAATGATTCTATTAAACATTACCCGTTCATGAACGGTCTCTTCACAGAATTTCGTCTACAGATTAAATTGTCTATTGTGATATCTTTTATATTGAGCGGCCTTCTAGCGAAATCGTAGCTCCTCCCGATGACCCTGTAAAAATTCCACAGCACTTTAGAATCTATTGAACACATTAGCAATAGCACTAGATGTTATTTTTAACTATCCAGTTGACATCAATATATAAGAAGGAAGACATATCTGTCTGACCGATCGGCACCATTTTCCAAAATAGTTACATTTAATTTGCTTAAATCCACTGTTAATATACAACTTTGTATTTGCTTTTTATCATACATATTTTTCACACCCACTCAGATGCACATGAATACACAAATTCGTATATCTTATCGAATCACTTTTGGTCTGAATGGCATGTTTTTGCGTGAACTAAATCATTGATTTGTTTCTTTGTACAATTGAAACATTTTTGATTTGGTTATTTATTCTCTGAAGAAATGTCCTACTCGTCAGAAATTCAGTTTCTTAATAATCGGGATATTACATATATGTTATTTTATTTTATAATTATTATCAATCCGATCAATGCTCAGTTTATTTTATTTATTAAGTCTAACCTTGATATTGTCCAGAGATTTCCCCTAGGTTACCCTGAGAGTTATAACTTGGATACTGAACATAGTATGTATCAATTTAATGATATTTGATCATCTTTATCTTGAAAATAGTGGTCGTATTTTTTGGGATGACCCAGACCCAAATGTTTATGTCAAGTATTAATTACTAGATCAAAAATAAAAAAATTGTTTGACGAAGCTATTATACTTTATTGACTGTATGGCATGTGGTATGTGTTCCCATCTACACTGTCAGAAGTGTAAATATCCAAAATCAGGATGATAATGTTTCACTATCATTTGCATTAAGAATTATAACAGTTCAAAACTAAGTTTCCTCGTTGATTATTGTAAACGCTATTTCCAATCGTTAAATTACATGAATTAAGGCATGAGAAAAACTTACGGTTATTCAACCCAACTAATGATTTCCATCGATAAATGATAGTTGGAGACCCAATAAAATCCTAATAACAGTGAATATCTTATTCATCTTCACTTCAGATTCCTTACCATTATAGTGTACAGCATGGAACTTAAGATTTTTACTCTTCATCACAAGCATTGTCAGTTGTTGGTTTGTCGGACTGCATTGATTAAGAGTTCATAAGAAGGATTAAATAAATTCTCAATCTCCTTATTTTTCAATAGTTCTCATGCTGATTTCAGTTATAAACGAAAATCTGCATAAGAACATGCCAGTGATAATTTTAAAGAAAACTTTTCATATCACTGTCACTTATCCGTGTAATATGTTGTCCTGTCAGGTCTAATAATACTAATATAATGCATCACTTATGAAAAACCAACAATCATTGAATTTTTGAGACTATGACATTTGTGAAAAGCAATCACAATGTTTCGTCTTGGATATGCATGTTTATTAAGTCAGGTGGTAAGTTATGTTATGAACCGACGAATTGCTGTTATATATGTTCAGTTGATTGTCATGAATCATTGAATACATATTTCAATGTTCAAAATATATCTTATTGAAAAGTGTTAATAATCACAAAACACAGACTTAGTTTATCGATAAAAAACCCCAATTTGCACGTAACATATTGTTAATATCAATCAATACTGACATTGTTGTATGCGATAAAAATAACACAAACCTAGACGGTTTCTAAATAGTAACTATCAAATGATTGACTTATATTTTATAAGTACTAAGATTGAAAAAGAATTGTTCGATTTATTTCTGTATCTCTTGTCAGTATGACTTCAGTCATTATTTCTATTCACAATGAATATTCTTAAACATACATGAAGATAAATTAACTTAGTAGTTAAGGTACACTTTTCACA